TTATGTACCAGGTAAGAGATGATTTGTAAATGTATGCACACATTTTTTCTGTGAAAAATCCCATATTTTAATTGACGTATCACCCGAGCATGTTGCCATTTTGTTTCCACTTGGATGAAAATCACATCCAGACCTTAAGAGGAAAACAATGACTTTCTAAAATATATAACGGCGAATGAATTAAACTGACTTACACCCAATCTGTATGCCCTTCACCTTTCATTATCATGTCTCCTAAACAATACACAAACATATTCTACTCTTCTATGAAACGAACTTTAGTTCGATTTACCCTCTGGTATTGCCCACATTCTCCATGTACGATCATCGCTTACAGTTACAACGACATGTTTCCGTGGATGAATGGTAGCACTAAAATGTGGAATACATCAAGCTTATTTAACAGAAAGAAAAAATATTTTACCAACTAATAGGTCCATCGTGTGCCTCAATTTCTTTAGCCAATGTTAATGTTGATCGATGAAATGCACCATCATCTGCAAAACGATTTAAATATGGATTGCTTCCAACATCAATTGGAAATTCAGAATCCTGAAAGGTAAACTTAAGGTTGATTTTATTAGATGTAACACAACCATGATTATTTCCAACCTGCGGATGTGAACTATTTATCGTTTCATTTGTTTGTGGCACCGTTTTTTTCTTCTCTTCTTTTTGTCTTAACTCTTTCAACTTCGTTTGTGTTGGTCCTAAACCATCTGTTTCGTCTAAAAAGTTATTATATACGTTGCAAGTAAGGAGAATGTACGTCAATAGTCATTATTTACTTGACTTGAAACTAGGAATTTTTGTTGCATTTAATTGATTTTGTAATTTTTCTTTCTCCAATTTATGTACCATTTTTTCTCTCATTGCTAGATCATATTTGCTTTTTAATTCATCTAGTTGTGGTTCATATTGAGATAGATGCTGTTTTAATCTGAAAAATACTTAAAACAATAATTATTACGTTCCCATCTGTGAGTTTTCACTTCTATTCTTTGTTACCTTTTTGTGAAATTAACAAGATTATTTTTTTCTTGTGCAATTCGATTATGATGTTGACGATGATAATTGCGTTCTTTCTTCATTTTAACAAATTCTTCTCGAGCTTTCCTAAATAAAAAAGGAGAGTGAGTTTTCTTTGAAGTGAGTATATAAATTAAGATTAAAAAAGAAATCATACTCGGCAGATTTTCGGAAACGATCCACTTCCGACTCGAGTAATTTCATTCTTTCGCTTAATTCTTCATTTTCTCGATAAACTTCTGGTAAATATCCACTTGTATTTGTTTTTATTTGTCCAGAAGATACTAAATCATGCCTATTACAAATAAAATAGCTGTTATTTATCGTTTTGTACGGTAAGCAAAAAAAGCAGTATATACCATTCAACCTGAAATTGTTGCATGGTTTTTCTCATGCCCATACGAACGAGAAAATTTCGAACAAAATCATCGACAGCTTCTGGTTGTGTGGCAAGTGTGCCTTTTGGAATGGCGCTGGCCTGAAAAAGGTCTACCAATTAGCAACGAAGAAGACTATTTTTTGTTCAATTGATTTACCAGTGACTGATGATCTTTTTGTAAATCTTTAACAGTTCGTATTAAAACATCGAGTGAATCTTCTTTATCTGATAAAAGAATAAACAATGTATATGAACGTTAATTTTGATGACTACTACATGATGAATATATACCTTCTTCATAAAATTCTTCAACCGGAACTTCTTCATAATCAAATTCTTCCCGATTTTCATCGGCTCTAACATAACGTTTTTCTACATAGTATGGTACATCGTCAATATTTTTTAAATCAATCCGGACTGCATCCGGACCACTTTTAAATTCTTTAGAGGCATGAATGTCACGTAGCGGAGCCGCAGCTACAGTTGTCATTTGAAATAATCTCTCTTTTGATATAAAGACCTGCCGTATGTTTGAGACAGGATGGACACCATTACAAGTAAACGTTTTTGAATATTGCTAGCGATGGGCACTATTCTTATTTTAGTCGACCTAGAATTCCACTTACATTTCAAACTTATAAGAAAGCTTGCGAAAAATTGTGTTCAAATACTGAGCTATGATCTCTGAATTCTCTCAAATGTTCTTCATGATGTCGCTAGCGTTCGGAAAAAAATTCGCTAGAAATATTAGTCTGAATAAACGTCCACTAACGACAGGATATTTTTTTCTTCTTCTAAGCCGCTGATCAAAGATTTTGTGCGCAATTTAGTGGTTTTATATAAATTTAGCTACATTTGCGTATAAAATGAGTTTTATAATAAAATCTCGCGCGCATCCCAGTCATAAGAAATTGTGCCGGTGTTGACTTTACAGTCGGCCGAGTCGGTGTTGACTATTTTCTAAGCCGAGATATAAGCAAACCGACTTGTACTTTTGTATAATTATCGTTTCATGCTGTACGAAAAACACTGTAATTTTTGAAGGAAGCCTATATCAAATTTTTTTGGAAATCTTTCTTTATATGTAGTCTCTGTTTATGATACAATTTTTCAACTAAATATTCAAAGATCAGAGCGCGATTCATGTAATAAAGAAAATCAAATTGAGTAACTAACAACAGCTAATGATACTTATTATCTGACTTCTGACAAATGAGACAAATGAGTAACTTGTTATTGATACATATCTTGAAAAACTGTAACTGTAATATGTAATGCACAGCTACGAACAGGCCATTGGCTAAACTTATAACAGTACCAACTAGTGAATACGACTAGGTTTTCTACTGAAATAAAATAATAACTGATACATTTGGAAATATTCGCCGATTTATTAGTTATCATCTATTCCTTGTCCCATGGATGATGCTCTATAACTTCTATGTTTAATAATATCAAGTTAAAACTCCTTTTTCAATATTGAAACATTATAAAGTATTATACAGTTATTTGATTTAACGACGCTATTTATTGAAAGCAAAGACGTCCAACATCGCCTAATATTATTGATGGTCATATAAAGTTATGAAGCTGTTAAATTAGATGACACTGGACTATATTGTTAATGGTGACAGCAACATTTCAAGTATGAGATAATTCAATATTGAACCAAGATTATTGTAGCATAACTGATCTTTATACAATTATCTATGTTCTTGCTCTAGTAGATCTAATAAGGAAAGAATATTTGTTCTTTATTTCGAAATATATAAATTATTTTGTTTAAGTTGTCAGATTCACCATTCAGCAAAACTACCATCTTTTAATCTGAATTGTGGCGTTTCCCAGTCACCATTGAATAGACCTGCTGTCAGCTTGTCATCAGCAACTTCAATACCTAATCCCGGTAACTCTGATACATTGACATAACCATCGATTACCTAAAAAATCATCATTTTATCATTGACTGTAAAAAGTTGAAGAAATCAATATGTACTTGGAAGGGTGTTACTAAATAATCACTGCCTAATGTTAAATGTTCTTGACATAAAAAATTCCAAGTACATGTGGCAAATTGTAAACACGCTGCCAGTGAAATCGGACCTAGCGGGCAATGTGGTGCTACAGCAATATTTCTTGCTTCAGCCATAGCAGCAATTTTTTTTGCTTCATTTATACCACCGCAATGTGAAATATCTGGTTGTATGATAGCGACTGCTTGTTGCTCAATCACTTCGTTGAACTGCCAACGAGTAAAAAGACGTTCTCCGGTAGCAACTGGAATCGTTGTGGATGAGCTTATTTGTTTCAATGCATTAACATCACCAGGCAACACAGGTTCCTCTAAGAGAAATAATTAAAATACACACAGCCACTATACGAGAGATCAATTTACCGATAAACATGATATCCAGGTCTTCGATCATATGAGCTAAACGACGAGACTGGAAACATAATAAATTACGTGGACACTTGTGTTCCTTCTTAATTACTGAATACATACCATAATCGGTGTCGAACGTCCATGAAAATCCAGCGCAATGTCAATTCTTTTGTCTATTTTATTACGCAATAGCGTTACATTGTCAACAATTTGATGTAACACATACGGTTGCTCAATCATTTGCATTGCAGGTAATGGACACGTTTTATAGGCTGTAAAGCCTTCTTTATTTTCATTGATATTTTTACAAAATAAATCAATATAATCACCAGTGGGTTCTAACGACAACCACCCATACATTCGTACTCGATCACGTACTTTTCCACCAAGTAAACGCCAAACAGGGACCTTTAAACTATATTTTCAACATTTAAAGTCTCTAGCAGGTTGTTGGCAAAATGTCTTACTGTTTTCCAAGAATATCCCATAGTGCTTGTTCAATGCCAGACAGAGCACTGGTCAAAATAGGTCCATTGCTAAATAATGAAGAAAATAGTGTTACAGACTCCTTGCATGCAATCGTATTGTAATAAACTTATATTTATTTTGTAAAAGTTTGAGAAAAATGTTTACTGCACGATATAAAGAATGACTACTTGTAGAAAAAATTTGAAATACAATCTAACACACTGTAAGAAAAATGCGTCCTGGATTGACCATAGGACACATTTGGCATGTACCGTCAGGATTGTATCTGCACATAAGCACTTTTGTACATATATCATGCGCAATAGCACATAGGATATGAGTATAATCTTATAGAGATAGAGTTTAGATGAAACAGAAGGACAACAAAGCATGAAACAACACTAAATAGAATAGAAAACTAGAATCACGAATTTAAAATCATCAACTTGACTTTCAAACTAAAGTGTCTAAAAATAAACTTAAGATATTCTATTTACTACATATATAATGTTTATGCGTGTTCCATCCTTACTGCATCTATATTATGTTACAAATGTTTCGTTCAAACTCTTCAATGTATTTGACTAGAAAAAAACTATCGAGATGAAAATGAACACTTTTCTTCATGATTACTTGAATATACAACATTGTGCTAAGGATGCATATCTACTGCTTCACTTAGATCATTATATGCTGTTCAACTACTAACTATATACAACTTTGTTATCAGTCTTACAAATCATTCTCCGAACTAATATTTTTAGCTGTTTCAATTGCAAGCTTTCAAGAATTCCTCAACTATTACACGTTTATTCTTGTTTGTAACTCAATTATAGCATAATTGTCATATTATGTTTAGCTTACACACGTTCACCTCAATTAGTGAATTCTTACCGATAAAATGTACCACGATAAATTGCTTGCCAATGTTTCTCAATATCTCGAGGATCCTAGATTTGTTAACATATAAACATCAAAATTTCGAAAACAGATTAAAGATAAAAGCATGGATCAAAGCAAATCATTAAGAGTCATAGGCATTTTTACACTCGTGCGCAGTAGCTTTAAATACGAGGTAGCAGGGTTGAATATTTGATACAGAAAGAAAAATTCTTACAAAATGAAAAGGGTATATCCAGGGGGAAAAGCATCACTTCACCACTTCACTTCAGTTCCACTTCACTTGAAGTGAACTGAAAATGATTTTGAAGTGTCCATGAAGTGAGTGAACTAGTGAAGTGGAGATGAAGAACATAGAGATGAGCAAATAAATTAGAGAGACGTTAGCTAATGTATTTTTGCTAACGTGCACTCTAAAAACTAGTCGTAGATTAATAAACTACAATAAAAGAGTTTTTTGGACTAAAAAACTGATCATAAAACCCAAAAGAGTTTTTTAACGGGTTTTTTAGGCCAAAAAACTAAAAAGCGTTCGTGGTCGTTTCAAAATGAAAAACTCACCGTTTTTGGGAGTTTTTTTTCTCGCTCCTGGTTCTGCACATTAATATTCTTTTAAAAAAAAGGCCACTATATAGAAATTTTGATAACCTCTGCTAGTATAGTTAAAAGATGTTGCTGAAGAGTTAAAAAAGCACTGATACATTTTTTATTTAATCTTTATTAAGGTGAAATAGGAACAGAATAAATTCAAAATTTGTCATCATCGTACATCAGCGAAAACCTGATACAGTATAGGATCTTTTTCAAGTGTACATAACCTAAAAGAGATCTAAAGCATGGAATGAGTGACTGTTGACAGCGAGACAGAGCTGCATCTACTTAGATCTGGTTTAAACCAGAATATTTTTACATTTAATTTTCTAAAGTTTATTTTTGATGTTCAACCTTCATTCTTATTTATCTGTGTTTTCTATAAATGAACTTAACATACCTTGCCAATTAGGTATCGAGAACATTCCTTAAAGACAAACTGATATTTTATATTGTGCGTTACAGCGCATCCATCTTTATCCTACCTTAACAGCCGTCTCTACTGTTTGTGCTCTACCTTCCACAACGGGTTCACCCCAACCGATAGTGCCATCATCACATGTAATCTAAGTTTGTTGATTGACAAAGTTATTATTTTAACTACAAAGGGTATGCTTTATATAATGCCTCACTTTTAGAAATAACCATCTTGGTTTTACATGAAACGTTTCCATTTTTTCGATCTTCATTTTTGAAAAAGTTTATGTATACTAAATAATACTTTTTTCGTTTTTGTATTTTATGCAATAAGATAACTTTTGTACGCTCTACTTGTTATCATGATAGAATATAAAAACAAAGCATCGTGGGAATTAGCACCTGTAATATATACATACGTTCACCTCACGTTTAGTCTCAAATTACTGAATTCTTACCGATAAAATGTACCACGATAAATTGCTTGCCAATGTTTCTCAATATCTCGAGGATCCTAGATTTGTTAACATATAAACATCAAAATTTCGAAAACAGATTAAAGATAAAAGCATGGATCAAAGCAAATCATTAAGAGTCATAGGCATTTTTACACTCTCACACAGTAGCGTGTTTGTATAGTATGAGAGGTTCTTTCTGTTATGTTCAGTTCTTTTATAATAAACACTTAAGTAAGTATTTACAATCTAACTCGGATAGAACATAACAGTGCTGCGATAGTCGGGGATTAGCGTCCATCATGCTACTCTGGATCAAATGTTGCTTTAAATCTCCTTAATATGCGTTTATAATAAGCTAAGGTGAATTGTCGGAAAACCGAAAAATGAGTGATTTTCGACAAAAAAATCAATTGCACTATCTCGTATCCGTACTGGAAATGTATCTTCCTAACACAGTATTGAAAAGGAATATTTTGAGCCCCTACTGATATGAGAAAATTATGCCCAAACAATCATATCCAAGAAAATTTAGCAGATAAAAAATAAACAGACTATGAGAACCGTATCGCTTTACCTTTCTGGACGCGCCTTGTTGTATTCTAGAAAAAGAATGTGTAGTCTATATCCGAAATTTATTTCCTTACGTTTAGACCTTACATTTCATTATTTTATTGCATAAATCGTGGCTCTTTTTCATTTGTAAGTGTATACGGCAACAGAAAAATGTTTGGATTCTCGCTTCTTCTGATAGTAGTAAATGGGATGATGATGAAATTCTAACTGTCACAAAACCTGGTTTATTATATTCCAGTGGAAATTATTAGTAATATAAAAGTGTTTAAAACGCGAAATACGTTGACAAAAGATGCAAGAGATAAAGAAGGATTTATTACGAGTTGTGGTCGAACAACTATCGTCCATGAATGAAAAGCAAATCTTCTTAACGCTGGCAAAATTTTCGTATTGTTTTGGTATATAACCACATGCTGACCATACATACAAGGTCATCGACTGAAAAAACGATGCGGATAGTTGGTTATGCACCAAGGACTGAATTTTAATGATTGCATCTCGGTTTCTTACAACAAACGTCCAGCGTATCTAGGAATAGCCGGTCGTACGTTGCTCTTGCTATAAAGTCATTACATAGGATATCATTTTTCGTGATACGGCAAATTCCCAATGATCTTTATGCTTTTTATTACTTTTTTTATCGTTTATCTTTTGCTTGTTTTCAGCTAGATGTACATTCAATTTTGTGCGTTAATATAAAGATGACTAGCGTCGAGTTTTTTGTGAAAAAATAAAATATGAAAAGCGTTTTGAATGAAATGAAAAAATGTTTGGAATACAGGGACCTGTTTCTCAAAAAAACTTAAGTTTTACTGAAGTAAAAATTCCACTTAAGTAAAATATTTTACTTAAGTGAGTTTCTCAAAAATACTTAAGCATAATTTCCTGTTTACTTAAGTGAAATTATTCACTTAAGTAAAACTTAAGTTTTTTCGAGAAACAGGCCGCACTTAAGTTGTTTTGAGAAACAGGCCCCAGGTTTTTAACTATAGCCGCGATGGTTGAACTTGAACATTCGAGAATTAGCAAAGTGGATGTCATCGATTTCTAGCATTCGGTTTGCTTGTCCAAGTGAAATTCCACACCCTAGTCCAACATCTTGAAACCAAGATCTTGCCCAAGATCTTACGTTAAGATTTGGCACTAGATCTTGAAAAAATGGGTACAAGATCTCAGGACATTTTTGTACCCAGGACCTTACGCAAGACCTTAGGTACAGATATTTCTTGATATCTTGTACCCAGGATCTTGAACATTTGAAAAATCGTCATATTTCAAAACTAACTTTTTTTCTTTGCATTTTTTCAACAAGTATTGGGAACAAAAGAAATTTACCGCTCAATGGTAAACATTTCATCCGCTAGGACGAACGATCCCTAATGCCTCCCTGATGGAATTTGGACTCTGCTGTCGACTAAAACATAGTAATATTAGACACAAAATAGAATGTTCATATATAGGATGACATCGCCAAAAATAAGACGGTGAATGATAACCAATGGTTACTCAAAGATCTTTGGTACAAGATGTCAAAATATTTCTGTATCAAAGATCTTGAGCCATGATCTTGGGTACAAATCATTTTACAGTCAAGATCTTG